AAAGGAAAAAACAAGGAGGAATTCCTAAAAGAAAACGTCCTTTAGATGTGTTTGACTGAGAGAGAGAGAGTATAAATAGGACAGTCCAGGGAACAGAAGGTTCATTTGTGAAAACTGAATCCTAGTAGACACATCATGTTACAGCCCGATTCCTGTGCGTGTGGGATGAACAATTTAGAATTGTTTCAAGTCCCTCCGACTAATATTGCTTTAGAAGACTCGAAATGGGAAGAATATTACCCCATTTCCAGTACTTTAGATTCTGACACCGCTCCCATCGAATTTGAAATTAAAGGACAAGGAGATCACTATCTGGATTTATCTCAAACTTATGTTCAAATGGTATGTAAATTTACCAAAGACGATGGAAGTAATCTGACTGGGGCGAACAGCACTTCCAGTCCCGTGAATAATATCTTACATTCCATGTTTACGGAAATCGATGTCAGTCTGAATGGCAAAATAGTGACTCCAGGGACGGATACCTATCCTTACAAAGCTTATCTGGAGAAATTATTGTCTTACCGACCCAGAACTTTAAAGACACAGACGAGGGCCTGTAGTCTGTGGGAAAAAGATACGGCAGGACATATGGACGAAGTGGGGATAGAGGCTCTTGGTGTAGCTCAAAATAAAACCTTTGATGTAACTCCGGGTGCAAATGGTGGGGCCGACACGGTGACCATTAACGAACCCATCCTCACAGCGTTACCGGCCAATTCTAAAAACGAAGGATTCCGAAAAAGACACCAAGCTATTGCTGACAGTAAGAAAATCAGTTTGCTGGATACTTTACATTTGGATTTGTTTCAACAAGATCGATTTCTACCCAATGGAGTGGACGTCCGTTTGCGATTTAATCGAGCTAGACCCTCTTTCTACATGATGATCAAAGGAGGAAGTACAGGAAAAGTGAAAATATTGAGTATGATCTTGTGGGTGAGAAAAGTCAAACCCACAGCAGTCATGATGAATACCATTAATCAGAGTTTGAATACCCACAGAGCCAAATATCCCTTGAGAAGAGTGGAAGTGAAAACCTTTACCATCCCCATAGGGACCCAGTCTAAGATTACGGATCATCTGTTTCAAGGCCAGATGCCTAAACGTCTCATTTTAGGCTTTGTGGAGAATGCGGCCTTTAACGGAGATAAAACTAAAAATCCCTTTCATTTCCAAAACTTTGGGATCAAGAAATTAGATGTCAGTATCAACGGAGAGACCATGAGTACTCGTTGTTTTGAACCTCATTTCAACGACGATTTATATCTGAGATCATATCTCAGTCTGTATCAAGCTCTGGGGAAATTAGGAGAAGATTGGGCTCCGGACATCACCCTAGAAGAGTATAAAAGCGGCTACACTCTATGGGGCTGGGATTTCACTAAAGATCAAGAAGCGCAATCGGATAAATTCCACATCATAGAAACAGGAAATCTGAGAGTAGAAGTGCAGTTTACCAACAATACGGTTAACACCATCAATTGTGTGGTGTATGCAGAATTCGATAACCTATTAGAAATTAACAAACAGAGAGAAATGAGCATTGATTACTAAAAAATGGATACGGGACAATTGAGAGAAGTCTTATCCAGAGAATTCAAGAGTTCTTTTGGAGGCGTGTATCCTGTAGATTTATTACCGGATCAATTAAGACCTGGAGAAAAAGCTGTCGTGGTCAATACGGATCCTCAAGATCGACCTGGAGAACATTGGGTGTGTCTATATGTGAGCAATCCTGTGGTGGAATATTTCGATTCTTATGGATTTCCTCCCTTACAAAAAGAAATTCAAGATTTTATCCAGCGTCATGCTCAACAATGGATTTATAATCCGTATCGCTATCAAGACTGGAATACCGATGTGTGTGGACAATATTGCGTGTATTATTTACATCAAAGAGACAAGAAAAGAAAGAAAACCGACGAGTGGCTATTCCCCTTTGACCAGAGTACGGCTTTACAAAGGGACAGATACGTAGCGAATTGGTTTAAAAACACTTATCATAAATTACCTACGGGTCATGGACAAAAGTGTCAATGTTTTTATCAAAATGTATTGTAAATACGTTGTTTGTTGTTGTTGTTTGTTGTTTGTTTGTTGTTGTTACAAATAAAGAATGAAAAAAATCAAAAATCTGTGTTCTTTGTTTTGTCTTTTGTTAGTGTTTTCAGAAAAAAATCCAGTTTGAACTGGTTAGGCTAGACTGAGCTTTTGACTGTGAAGCGTGACGTCATAATCTTGAATTGCTGCCAAGTAATACCTATGTAGTCAGCATAAAAAAAATGTAGGTCAAACGTATGTTTTGCACACGGCCCTTATCTTTCAAGGTGAGGGGGTATAAAAACAAGGTGTTAAAGACGATCCTCCTCAGTTGGTGGGGCATGTGGTTGAGTAAACGACAGTTTGGCAAGCGAATTCCTAGAATATTAGAAGACATGGAGATGGATAAAGATAAATTTGCCTTATTAGAAAAGAGAATGACGGAACCTATGGAGGGGGATCACGAAGCTCCTCAAACAAAAAGAAGAATAGAGTTGAAAACCCTGGATCCGGAACCTAAGAATGAATATATACCCCTGCATGAGCCTATCAATGATCCTAAATTTCCAGACAGATTTTACAGGACAGCCATTAATTGGACTTTCACCATTAAAGAGCCCAAAGAAGAAGAAGATATAGACATGTTTCTGAGCAACCAAGATGATTTCTTCTTTGGTTTCCAGTATTTGATTATACAAAAGGAAAGACATCCCTGGACAGGAGAACTGCATCAAATCAGGGGATTCATTCAAATGAAGGAACCAGAAGGAGGACTGACTATGTGCAGACTTCATATCACTGCTGATTTTGCCATGTCTCACAGTACTCCAGAATTGGAAAGTATGTTTTACAAGCAAGGAGGTGACTATGAAGAATATGGTGTTCTGAAACCTGAGGAGAGAAATAAGGAATTGGAGCCCAGAGATTGGATAGAATGGGAAATAGGAGCTTGGAAGAAACCTGAAGCTATTGAAGCCAGAGAAGCCAGGAAGAAAAAGTTCTTAAAGAATGTGAGCTGGTCAAGATGTGAATAAAAAAAAAAAAAAAAAAAGATTTGAACTGTTATTTATTGTTAGATCTCAATAAAAAAAGAAAAGAAAAAAAAAATTGTGGGTTTTTTGTCATTTTTAAAAAATAGGTTATCTCCCTTTAACCATAGATTTTTTTTTTCAAAACACAAAACAAAAAAGTGTTGAGGGTTTTTTAAAGATTGGTAAAAAATAAATACAATTTAAAAAAAAAAGTATAAATAGTAAACATGGTATAAAACACACCTCAGTTGTGGACTGGCTTCATTATGGGTAACACCTCCAGTAAAGAAATGAGTGTTTCAGAACACTAGATTAAAGGAAACTGAATGGCTACTTATACAGGAGGGAGGAAAAGATATCATACCACCTCCCTTGATGGTAGAACATCCTGCAGTATTTATACCACCTCCCTTGATGGAAGAACATCCTGTAGAATATAAACCTCAGGAGGAGGAAAAAGAAAACATAAGACCAAACAACAAACTCTTGGAGGATATTAAGGCTCATTATCAAAACAAACAGAAAGAAAATACAGGCAATGGATATATTGCTTACTTAAAACAAGACAGAGGTAGAATAGCCAATAATTGGATATTTAATTTAACTGGGTGCCGACAGGAAGATGTAGATCAAATCATTGGAAGTGATTATCAATACTTGATCTTACAAATAAGGTCTAAAAGAAAGGCATCCAGAAACTGGAAAACTTCATCATGTGAGAGGATTCATTCAAATGAAAAACAGGGTTCAAGGGAGATACATGTACAGAAAGATTCATAAATTAACCTGTTTTGAGATGTCTCACAGCACTCCAGAATTGGAAAGAACTTTTTATAGACAAGGTGACTATGAAGAATATGGAGTTCTAAAACCTGATGTGAGAAACAAAGAATTAGTTCCAAGAGATTGTAGATTTACCTGAATAAAAAAATAATCTTGTTTTATTGTGTTGTTGTTGTTGTTCTATAAAAACAAGGGTGTTTTAAAAAATAGATTCATTTTACATCATGAGTCTCCAGGAGATACAAGGTGATTTACTCAACTGTGAGGTAGAAGCTATTGTTCATCAATGTAATTGTTTAACTGTAAAAGCTCATGGATTGAGTCAAAGTATTGCAGAGAAATTCCCACAAGCTAATCTCTATGCCACTCGCAGACCTCTAGGGACTAGAAATTTAGCCGTAGAAGAAGATAGAGGAATTCCAGGCACTATTAAGGTGTTTACCTCACAAACCCCTGTGGTCATTTGTTTATTAGCTCAATGGGATTATGGAAAAGCAAGTCACCGACCTAAAAGAATTTCCACTTATCAGGATACCCCACAAAACAGAGAGCAATGGTTTCAAACCTGTTTACAAGAAATGGGGGAAAGTTTACCTTACCAGACTTATGCTTTTCCTTACAAGATTGGGTGTGGACTAGCCCAAGGAAATTGGATTCATTATAGACATTATATTGAACAATTTGTACACACTTATGAAAAACATGTGTACATTCTTCATCATCATCATTAATTGTGTGTTTTCATGTGATGTAAAATAAAGAAGAAAAAAAAGTACCTTTTTATCTGTCATACTCTAATGTCTGTTTTAAACAGGAGATGAAGGTCCACCGCAATCCCCATGCACTCATAAGCAGATCTCTGGTGGGGGGTCAGTAGAAACACTCAAGTAGTTTTTTTTTTCTTTTCCCCTGTGATATAATGTCAATATTTTAATGGAAAATTCAGAAATTTATCAGTAATTGGAGTCAAAACTTGCTATCTTTATGGTATTGATTTCCATTATCAGATTTTATTTTTTTTTTATCCATTTTAAAAATATAAACATTTAAATAATTATCTTAATAATAATAATTAAATAAATTAAAATGATATCTCATTGAAACTTTTTTTAGATTCAAGTTTTGTTTTTGTTTTTATGTTAGTTATTTCACTGTATATTTCCCAAAGGAAGACCAACAGCCAGGCTTCACTTCACTTAGAGAATGGATTGGTTAGGAACAAAACATATCTTCCAGGTTTGAGGACTGTATAGAAAAATAAAACCCATTTTTTGTTATTATGATTTAAATTACATGAGACAATGTCTCTTATAAATGTAATGCAAAAATAATATCTCTTATATATATGGATTCCTATACTCTAATTATATTAAATGTCATTTGTAAAATGTATTTTTTAAAGACAGATTTTATTTAGGATCGACTTTTAAATGATGACATGAATAGCAGGCCATACTTTAAGCACATGACAAAAACATTATCTCAAATTACACAGAAATGGGTTATTTAGCATAGCTGACATTAAACATATAGATGAGGGATAACATAATCACAATTATAAACAATGTGAAACAACTTTAAACGACCTACAAGGTAGATTACAAGCCTTTTTCACTGGGGTAAAATCTCGCCGAAATTCGCTATGGCCGCCGAACCCGAACCCGACTGTATAAAGATGAAGTCATAAAAATAACATAACACTGATGTAGTATTACATGATTTTTTTTTATTTTATTTCTTAAAAACTAACAATGCTTCTAACTGTCGAATTCTCCTCCGAAATCGTATTCGATCCGCTACTAGGGCCATCCAGGGACTTCTCCGGTCTTCGGGGGGTAATTCGTAGATTTGATTGAGGCTGGTATTAAAAGTCACGGATTTCCTAGCCTGTGTGAAATTTCCAGGTATTTCATTCCGTATTGAATACATACTTTCCATCGCATCTATGTCCTGCCACAGTAAAATCACTTTGCCCGCTTGGGGATGAGTCAGGAAACTGTAAGGCTTTCCGAAATAACGGGTCAGGTTCAGTCCGTACCATTTCTGGGGCAGAATTGTTTTCATATGTCGACATAGAAAATGTATGGTAGCTAGTCTCCCCATACGACCCCCCTGACTTGAATCGCTGCCAAGTATTTACCTGTGTAGTCAGCATAAAAAACGTAGGTCTATCGTATTTTTTTTTTTGCACACGGCCCCCCTCACAGGTGATGCAACAGGTATAAAAAGGTAGGTCAAAGGTGCACACGGCCCCCCTGACTTGAATCGCTGCCAAGTATTTACCTGTGTAGTCAGCATATTTTTTGCACACGGCCCTAAACAAACTTGACTCGCTGCCAAGTATTACCTGCGTAGTCAGCATAAAAACGTAGGTAAAACGTGCACTCGCCCCACAGCAGGTATATAAAGCAAAAAACTGTAAAATTTGACAATCAGTCTTGCTTGACACTTCGAACTTGACAGACGTGAAAAATAGTATGGCAGAAGCAATGATGAATACTCCACACAACCCCAGCTATGTGATACCTGAAGGGTATGTAGGAGCCCCCATGCCAGAGTCACAGGATGCAGTGGGATTAGATTTGGGTATGTATAATCTTCCAGCATATGCGAATAAAGAAGATATGGGCCTATTAAATACAACTCTGGCTGGGATTGTCAACATGCTGTCTGGTCTTGACAACAAGCTGACTGATCTGAAAAGTTACATCACTAAAATGAAAGGAGGAAGCACTTACCAGAAAAAACAAGGGGGATCAGGAGAAAAAAAGAAAACCAGACAGACGGATCCATGCTACATCTGCAAAGAGTTAGGGCATTGGGCCCCAGATTGTCCCCAAAAAAACAGGATTCGTGCTACAAGTGCGGGAAATCTGGTCATTGGGCTAATCAGTGTACAGAGAATGAGGAGGATCAACAATTGGTTAAAGAAATACAAAAACTGGAGAAAAAGCCTCAGGAACCCAAGAGGAAACTACCCCTGATGACCGATAAGGCCCAGAAGAAGAAAAAGTAAATTGTTGTATTTTTTTACTTGAATAAAATCTGTGTTCTTGTTTCTATTGTGTGTTATTGTTTTTTTTTCAGTTTTCGGAAAATCACTGTGAATGAGTGACGTCATAATCACATTTTTTGACTCGCTGCCAAAATCGTAGTAGCAGCGTTGTGAATCGTAGTAGCAGCGTATATAGTATAATGTAAACACAGTGTAAACACACCCCCGTATTATAGGGGGATATATGGGTTAGGGTTTGGGTTGTACTGAGTTGACCCAGCTATCCCCCACAGACCCCCTAATCTGCACTCTCTTCACCCAACTATCCCCCACAGGGGCTGCACTCCCTTGACCCGGCTATCCTCCCTCAGGGGCTGCACTCCCTTGACCCGGCTATCCCCCCAGGGGCTGCACTCGCTTGACCCGGCTATCCCCCCAGCCCCAAAAGTGCACTCAGTTGACCCGGCCATCTAGACCGTTTATACTACTTCCGGAAATTGGCGATTTATTTGGAAGGGTTTCCCTTTCAATTTATATGCACATTGGAGTACGTAGTCGAGGTCACGTTGATAAATAAACTTTGCGACAATTGGTCGATTCCTTTTGTTGTTTTTCTGCCCAAATCTATGTACAACTGTGAATTCGATGTCGTAATCAATGTCAAGCTCTTCGGCTAAAAAACCTCGTAATGTCTCCTCTGTGTTCTCTGGCATATTCTCGTGGATACCTGAGAAAATCAAGTTATATTTCATGGATCTGCATCTGAGATCAGTATTTGATCCGTTAGCTCTTCATTTTTTTCGATTAACTCCTCAATTTCGTTCTCTCTCTTAGATGCATAGTGTACAACTTTCGCCTCCATAGCGTCTAGCTTTATTTTCATATTCTGAAACTCATTTTCTGATTTGTCCACTTGCTCTTTTATCCCGTCAAAAACATTACTTATTCCCTGTAAGCTTTCATGAAACTCTGCGTTTGTTTGATTTATAGAACTTATTTCTCTCTCAATGGAATTTACTCTGTGTGAAAGCCTCACTACTTCTTCACACATTTCGTCGATTTTCTTGTTCCTTGTATCGATAACTGAGCTCATTTTATTGAGTCGATCGTTCAAGGAGACTCCCATATTTCTCACAAGCTCATATAATTTCTCTAAAGTTATTTCTTTCGATTCTTCACTTTCATATGATACAGCCCTAGCCTCTCCTAATATACTCACAGTTTCTTTTTCGGTCGACATTGTTGTTTACTAGTAGAAATGTTTGCTATAAATAGACGCCCCTGACTTGTAGAACGAGTTTTCTCAGCCCTATCGAACACGTACAATTGTTTGTTATCTTTGTTTACAGTAATTCAAGTCACATTTTTTACAAAACAGGAGTCAGTGTGATCAATTATTGCTATAAGTGCGATTAGAATACCTCTTTTCTTCGTTCTCTTGTCACAATATGGTAATTTAGCCCAAAATTTCTCTCTTCTATTTTAGTCCACCTTTGATACACGATAAAATAAATGCCGCATTTATTTTAATTCATATCGCCAAGCTGTATTGTAGATATAATTTTTAATTAATTTAAGAAATCAAAGCCTTAGATGGAGATAAGTAATTAAATACTTAATTTTTATGTATTTCCTCTTTCAGGAAAACGAACGCGATTTTTCTTTATCAATACTACGTCGTCTTTGAAGTTTCAAGCCTTTCAGTGTGTTTGGAAAAATGGGCAGGCGGGGTGGGTAGGGGCACAGGCACCTGAAGTATGGATAATACCCCCCCCCCTTTTTTTATAATGAAAAAAATGTAAGAGTGTATAATATCTCAAAAATATAAAATTTTCCCGTCAAACACATTTATATATCGTTATATGCAAACAGATTGTAATTTTTCTCACGTTTAAAGAATGGCCCTATTCGGTATAATAACTACATGTAGAGGTACTGTGAGCAATGAATTCACTAAATGATACCCCCGCCTCCCATATCGTTATAACTGATGACAAAGTCCATGTTTTGCCGTG